CCCACCAGCGCCAACCTGGACCCGTCCTGCCAGTGCCAGGGTGCTGGGGGGCTGCCCCCCTGCCCAGCGGCCCCCGGTCGCACTGGGGCTCCCCTGCAGCCAGCCCCGCGTGTGGCCCATGCCCTCCCGCTGTCCCTGTCCCTGTGAGCACGCGCCTGTCTGGCCCCGCCTGGCCCAAAGCAACTCCCACAGACGCAGCCTTTTTTTTCTAACCCGTTAAATTTATTGAAAAATTAAAAGCACAAGCTCTGTATATATAAATACAATGACATTGCCAGCAATATACACGGCCTCCGGGTGCCCCCTGCGTCCTTGCCGTGGCCCGTGCCCCCCAGGGGGTCCCTGAGGCCGCCGTGAGCAGCCACGAGAGTCGCCCGCCTCCTCTTCCGCAAGCCCAAGGGCCGCAGGGCGCCCCGCACCGCGTGTGGCACCAAGGGAACAGGGGCACCCGGGCTCCAGCCGTCCCCTCTCCGCTCCCCAGCCTGGACTTCAGTGCCAAGGCGGGCACCGCTCCAAGGGGCAGCCCCCAGCCCCAGGGCTGGACGCCTTCAGCTGAGACGTGCACCGATTTCTACCCGGCCTCAGCCTGCCCACAGTGACGGGAGATGTCAGGGGTCCCCAGGGGTCGGCGTGTGCAGGGTGCCAGTGCTGGTGCTGCTCTGTGCCCGCCTGGCTTCTCTCACCTGCCCCGCTGCTCCCGAGCTTCGCGCGGCTCCTAAAGGGCCACGTTGAACTCCGTGACCAGGAAATCGATGTAGTCCTTCTCCTTGAGCTTGAAGGCCTCGGCAATGATGCGCGCCGCCTCCCGGTGCTCCTTGCCACGCAGCCCCGTGCCGTTCACCTCCAGGATGACGTGTCCCACCTTGAGCTTCCCGCAGTTGTGCGCAGAGCCCCCGCGCTATGGGAAGAGGGAAGAGGGGAGTGAGCAGCGGGGCAGCCCCCAGCCCTGCGTGGAGATGCTGCCAGTGCCCAGGAACTGACTGCTGGAGCTGCCACAAGGTGGGACAAGAGCTGCTTCTGCTCAGCAACCACCCCTGGGGCAAAACGATGCCCCTGGCACCCCAAAACTCACACTGGGGCCACACTCTGTGCAGAGCTGGCAGGGAGGAGAGTGAAGCCACATGCACCGAGTTGTCCCAGGCTCAGCCTGCCCTACCTGGATGGTGACGATGCGGGGCAGCGGTTGCCGAGTGTTCGCTCCGCCCTCGATGGCGATTCCCAAGGTCGGTGCACTCTTGGACACTCGGATCAGACACGACGTGGGCTCCAGGAGCCCGGGCTGTGGGAAGAGAGGATTACAAGGCTGGATGGGCTCTGCGAGCAGCACAGCAGCTCCCTGGCTGCCTGCCCAGACCCCCCAGGCCACCAAGAGCAGAAACCCTCCAGTTTGACACCTGGTATTGCCTGCTCCTCCAAGGGCGACCGGTGATTTCAGCCAGGGGATGCGGTGCCCTGGAGACGTCCCCTCAGAGCCACAAGCTCCATCATGGCCCCAGTGGTTGTTTGCTGGAGCTGCCAGGCTGCGGTTTGAGCCAGGATGGCACAAATGAGCCCCCCGACCCCCTTCCTGCCAGCTCAGCCCCATACTGGGGTGACTCCCCCGGCAGCAGCGGCTGCCCCCCGCCCAGCACATGTGGACATGGTCTGTGCACGGCTCCTCTGCAGGGTCTCCGGGCTCCCGGCCTCACCGGCTTGGAGGCCCCCCCCGCTGCCCCCCCGCCTCTCGCCCCA